TTGGAGGTGAAGATGCTGGATGTGGAGGTCCGGTGCTGGTGTGGTTACACCTGGTCTGCGGTTGTGAGGTCGGTTGGATGTACTGCCAAGTTCTCTGAAACGTCTTTGGAGACAGTTTATGGTAGAGAAATGAACATTCAATTCATGGGCAACAGTTCTGGTGGACATTCCTGCAGTTAGCATGGCAATTGCATGCTCCCTCAAAACTTGCGACATCTGTGGCATTGTGCTGTGTGATAAAACTGCACATTTTAGAGTGGCCTTTTATTGTTGCCAGCCTAAGGCACACCTGTGCAATTATCATGCTGTCTAATCAGCATCTTGATATGTCACACCTGTGAGGTGGATGGATTATCTCGGCAAAGGAGAAGTGCTCACTAACACAGATATAGACAGATTTGTGAACAATATTTGAGAGAAATAGGCCTTTTGTGAAAAAAATGGGGGCAAAAACAAGTGTTGCGTTTATAATTTTGTTCAGTGTGTGTATATATATATATATATATATATATAAGTTTTAGCAAATTATATCATGATCCAGTCCAGACAAGGCAAAGCCATTGATAACATTGCAAAGGAAGAGGGGAAGTGGAAACGTTGTTTTATTACTCTATTATTCTCTCTATGCCAACTGCCAGGCAAAAGGACAGAGCTAAGATTGAGCTATCCAGGTACAACATAAAGTGGTGTGGATTTCTGCATTTAATTTTATTTTCCACACCACACAAATACCACACATACCTCTTTGTTTTATATCTATATATTACATATCAATTAAATATCATTGGAAGTGACAGTCCCCCTTTAATAACTGATTGACCTATGCTATCTCCTGCACCCCTTCCTCAGCTTTGAGACTTGCACCCTCAATTTTGTTCTACCCATACCTTTAGAATTTTATACAGCAAAAACCTGTTAAGAATGACCTGTGTCACTTGTGCTGGATGTTACAAGGTTTATGGCTGATGCCCGATGTTACATTCTATCTTTTTCTCTAAATATTAAAGGACCACTATAGTGCCAGGAAAACATACTCGTTTTCCTGGCACTATAGTGTCCTGAGGGTGCCCCCACCCTCAGGGTCCCCCTCCCGCCCGGCTCTGGAAGGGGGAAAGGGGTAATAACTTACCTTTTTCCAGCGCTGGGAGAGCTCTCCCTCCCTCCTCCCGACGCCGCCGCTGAATGCGACGCCGCAAGAGCCGCGCCAAGATTCAGCCGTCGCATAGGAAAGCATTTACAATGCTTTCTATGGACGCTGCTCTCACTGTGAAAATCACAGTGAGAAGCACGCAAGCGCCTCTAGTGGCTGTCAATGAGACAGCCACTAGAGGATTAGGGGGAAGGCTTAACCCATTCATAATTATAGCAGTTTCTCTGAAACTGCTATAATTATGAAAAAATGGGTTAACCCTAGAAGGACCTGGCACCCAGACCACTTCATTAAGCTGAAGTGGTCTGGGTGCCTAGAGTGGTCCTTTAAGGGGTATATTACAAGCCAGCAACGGCAACTAATCAATACTATTTTCTGCCTTTTGCCCCAAACTCTCCACACAGTTTTTAAAACAAAAGTCATAGGCAGGACTAGTCACTCCAGGATGTAAAAGGTACTTTATTCCCCACAATCCGGCCAATGTTTCCGATCCTCCAAGCATATATTAAGCCTATAACATGTTCCACCTTCAGCATGGAATCTCAGAACAGTTTTCGAATGAATTATAACCCTAGAATAATTTTACTACCATTAACACCGCCAAAGTAAAAAAAGTAATAGAGGTAAAATACATAATTTATTTTAATTATAATAAATAATAATTAACTTATTATTATGATAGCGAGGTCACGCTTAATAGTATAGTTTCAGCATTTCCAATTAAATCACAGGTTGACGTTTAGACAGCTAAGTTAATCTATGTTCTTATGAGATAAAATGGGTGTATTTAACCAATTATGTTCAATATGTACATACAGTGTGTGTCTGTTTCTTTAAGGTAGTTCAAAAAGTTCAAAAAGGAAATTTTGCTCATTTGCAAACAAATCCAAATTCAGAATTCAATAACTAATATTCAGCAGTGGATTCTGTGTTGTTCTGAGGCTGCTGCTCCCAGATGTCAGAGAAGCAATATGGTTAAAAAATGAAATATAAGCCATACATATTTGAATATGCATCATTATTAAGTATGTTTTAGCTAGTCTTCCATTCGCATCTTTATGTATTGGAATTCTTGAACCTTTATTTCTGTATGCTGATTATGTACAGTACTGAGCACAGAATTTATTTTTAAAGATGCACTGCACTCATCACCCAAACAGCTGTAAGACACAACATGAGGTTTGTGCTTCAAAATATGATTTCTACGTCCGGTCTAAAGAAAAACAGCAGCTGCAATTTCAACTTGCTAAAGAACATGAATCCTGCAATTTTACCTCATTAAAGAACATGTATCCTGCAATTTTAACTCATTAAGGAACACAGATCCGACAAGGAATACTGATTATTTCCACCTTAGCGGAAGACATGCCAGGAGTGTCAACGGTTAATGGCGCTCTAAGCACCCATAATCACTATAGCTCATTGCAGTGACGATGGTGAAAAGAGTCTATGAGCACTGTCCCCCCAGCCCCCCAGACTGTGTCAAACTGGTTTGAAGCTGTTTGACAAAAAAACAGGGCCCCACCACAGCCTAAAGCCAGGTCCCGCACTTGCTGCTGAGCTAATGGGGAAGGTAATTTCCACCCAAATTTGGGTTGGGAGCACTGAGTATGAGCTAAAAACTGAAATGTGTATAAGGCTGAGTTAAATGGGAAACGTCTCGACAATTCACAGCATTGAATAAAACATGGAATATAAATTTTTTTCATGTGATCCTTTTTGTTATGAATCTATATTAAATACTGAGCACGTTACATCATTATTCAGTTCAGACAAGGCAAAACTGTGGCAAAAAATGCAAATTAAGAGGAGAAATTGAAACATTGTTTCAATCCTCCTCTTCTCTGTAAGCTTTCTCTATGCTGACTGCCAGGTGCAAAGAACAGAGCTTATAACAATTACTGACTGGGAGCTAAGATGGAGGCGCCCAGTTGAAGGATAAAGAGGCATGGATTTTTATATTTCGCTTTGCTTTTGTTAAATATAGAGATAAGTAAACATAGCATTAAAATTCATTGGCATTTACAGTTTCCCTCTCAATAACTTAAAGTGGAACTGTCAACTTGTCACCTGGAAAAATGTAACTTTACACAATGCAGTTCAACAATTACAGCAAAAAAATATTCTCTATGTATCACATAGAATGCGAATGAGTCCGCTGAATAAAGTGCGGATCAATGGATATATTTGCTATAGAAGTTGCACACTAATACAATACACACACTGTGCACCGTACTAAACAGAAAGAGATCATAATGAATTGTACAAAGATGTGAATCAACATGCTTACATAGATGTATATGATGTACACGGCTCGTTATTTATAATGGAATAATTATTTTATTTATAAAGCACCAACTTATTCTGCTGGGATTCCAATGAGTAAATTATACATACTGCTAATCAATAACAAACACATTTTGTGTTGAAGAAGGCTTTGCTGTGAAATAGAAACTCATTAGTAAAATTAATAATAATAATAATAATAATAAAAAACTAACTGACAAGTTTAAACATCAAGACAATCTACCTTAACATGGGAATCACTTTTGTTATAATTTTATTAAAGGGACACTTTTGGCACCTAGACCACTTCAACTTATTGAATTGTTATGGGTGCAGTGTCCCTGTCCCCTTAACCCTGCAACGGTAATTAATTATTGCAATTTCTGAGAAACTGCAATAATTGCATTGCAGGGTTAATACTACCTCTAGCTGTAAATCAGACAGCTACTAGAAGCACTTCCTGCTTGCCAGGCGACTTTTGGTCTAAAACTGACACTGGACATCCTCACGCTCTGCATGTGGACATCCAGCATAATTAAAATCCCCATTGGCAAGCGTTGCAGCAATGCTTTCCTTAGGGAAGGGCCTAATGTGCTTGCTGCATTCACCACACAATGTGCATTAGCATCCCCCCTCCATCTGTGGTGGAGGAGAGTGCAAGGGAGCTATAGTGCTAGGAATGCAGGTTTGTATTCCTAGCACTATAGTATGCCTTTGAGCATTGATTCAGGGTGCTCATTCACAAATATGTCCTGGAGGATGAGTCCACCAAGAATATATTCAAAGACTTTCTGATAATCGCAAGACGACATACTGACTACTCATTTTGCTTATATAGGGTGGGCAAAAATTCAGAGTAGGATTTGACAGGTCAATAACTTATTTATTAGTAGTAAGTTTGTTTTGTTGCAGGTACATATTATAACTGAGCCTTGGGGGATTCATAATGGGTGATTTCACAAAGGAACAATGAGTACAAATAGTGGAGTTTTATTTTCAAAATGGCAGGTCTATTATTTTGACGCAAAGAGCTTATTGCTGCCACTTCAGTGGAAGAAATTGACCTTTCAGCTTCCAGTTACTTCCCATGGGGATATCTGAAGGAGCAGATGTACGTGAACAAATCGCGTACACGTGAGCAGCTCAAAGAGAACACCTGTACAGAACTGTGAGCTCTAGAGTCTCAAACATTAATGTTATGAATAATGCAATCGTAATAGCCCACCTTTGCAAAGCGGCAGATAGAGCTCATTTTAAAAAGTTATCCTTCGTACCGAGTCAAACAAATCTCCATACTAAAGCATTCACTGTATGTAATTGCATTGAAATTGGTTCATTAATAAAAAAGTTATTGGTTCCTCAAACGCTACTCTGAATTTTGGCCCACTCTGTATTAACAGACACGAGAATCTCTAAAATGTTGCAATACTTGATCTTTGTTAAATGGGCATACAAGGAAAATGGTAACCCTCCATGAATATTAACATTCGGACACAAACGATTCCACCTTGTAAAAACGTATGGAGAATTGTTGGAAGCCAGAAGGCGACTGAAAGACCTTCTCATGAAGAGGCACTACCACTCGCTACAGCACTCCAAGAACTTCTTTTACGTTCATGCAAACAAGGGCTGGAAATTCCTCACTCGTCTCCTGAAGGGGGACACCCCACATACACAAGTGAGCAAGCTACGTCTGTCATCGGGGAAACACTCCTCATTTCCGGAGGACATTGCTGGGGAATTCCGGAACCACAACCTCTACAACCTTCCCAAGCCAGAGGGGTCAGCACCGGGACAGGACACCCTGACACACACGCGAGAGTACCTGCAAATCAATGTACAGAAATGCATAAACCAGGACGCGGCGAACACACTGGACGAACAGATCAGCACGGAAGAATTGACCATGGCCCTGAAGAACACAAAAACGGGAAGCGCTCCGGGGCAGGATGGGTTCTCCGCGGGATATTATAAGCACTTTTCCGCCACACTCATACCATGGCTGACAAAAGCAATTAATGCGGTAGCAGACTGGGGGCGCTTTGGCACAGAGTCCCTTACAGCGACTATCACAGTCTTGCTCAAACCCGGGAAAGACCCGGAACAATGCGGCAGTTACCAGCCGATATCTAAACGTGGACACAAAACTTTTTACTAAGGGCAGCGGGACGGCCTTCCTGTAACTCCCTCGTGTGTCCTTTCCCTCCCTGTTTGCTTACCTTCCCTAGCAGGGCGCTGACGGAAACCGGACACAACAGTAGCCACATAGCCAAAACAGACTCGGAGACAGCACACGACGGGGTGACAACGGGAAACCTACTGAGACAAATGTAAATCACCTCCAAAATGAACGGCGCGATACTTCACCACTACCCACAGATAACCCGCTGCTACCCACACTAGCAACTGGACAACCACCATACACATAATTAGCTAACCTAGCGTTAAGTGGAAAACTCTACTTGCCCTCCCTAAACTTTTCTGCTTTACACTTACACAAACACCTTCATTACCTCCCCCCCTCTATGCAGGATCCGCACCTTCTTGAGTCTTGTCGCAAAACACTGTCTCAATGGGGCCTGTTTGCACATAGAGATGCCACCCCTACACATGAAGAAAAGATGGGACACCACACAGCATGGGGATTATAACCCAGAGGCCACATTGACATACACATTTAAGCTTACACAATACGACAGGTGACAACAGAAATACCTTAAATGTGATTATATAATAACGGAACGTTGCTACACGTAGAGAACTACACCATAAGAAACAAAAAGATATTAATAGCTTTTACACCCGCATTAAACTATGTCTCTCTGGAGGATCTCATACCTGCCACGGTCTTTAGCACTTTCCAAGTAAAATTGACCTACAAAAACTAAATAGCGGACATACAACTCAAGATCAAGGGGAAGAACCTCCCACACTTACCACCTTCCCTTTTTCCTTCCATCCCCAAACACACATTCCACCTCTCCTTTAAAGATCTCCTCACACCAAAACTCTCAACCTCATACTGTGAGGAGGGAGACAGACACAAGCCTACAGCGGGGCATACACCAAGCCTAGGATAACATTCATATATGCATATTCGCATGTAGAACAAAGCTTAACTGTCTGGGTATAGTTCTCATGGCACATCTAACCTAAACGCAACTATATTCTTTATAGAAAATAATGATGTAACTAAGATATGTTTCATACGACGTTAGCCCTTTGTTTCATAAAAAAGTCATAAAAAAGCAAAAAAAAAAAACAAAACTGAAAATGGATTGGTACTGTTTACATAAATGTTACATTTGCAGGCCTGCGTGCCTAACTTTTCTGCCACCTTCGTCTCAATAAAAACAGATTTTCAAAAAAAGAATATTAACATTCGGTTTCCATATTCCTTATGTCTCCTCCTCATCTGCATTATGTGCCCTGGCTGTGCCTGTACTGAACTGGATTGTGATTTGACTTTCTAAAGTCTAACTGCAATTTTTAAATGACAATTAAAAATCACATCCAAAAGGTTAAAAATGTTACAAGTGATTTTTCAATATTTTTTCAGTTGGTGTAATTTCCATAGAAGTGACAGTTCTTCAGAATGCTCAACATTAACTTCATAGCAGAGGACACATTGACATTATTAATTATGCCACAATGAGCTGTGCTTTATATATTTTACATTCAGGAAAACTGCACACGCATATTGTTATATTAAAAGGGACAGACAAGTATTGAACCCATGTGTGATCCTATCCATGGCAATAACATGCAAGCCTGCTATAAATGATGTCATAAAAAAGAGGAGTCAGGGCGTATATATAGCCTTTGGGATTTAGTCATTAAAAACACAAAAGCAAAATTGCACAGAATTTAAAAATAAATTTCAAAAATTGCAGATTTGGGAAAAAATCTTCAATGAAGCGATAGTTACATATTGGCTACTTTTACTCTCCATTTTGCAATTTGAATTTGTATTCACTTCAAATCAACATTTAGCGAATAACTCCCTTTCTGTCAGACCTGCCGTATCTTGAAACTAATCAACATGAATCAAAAATAGAATTCTTAACATATATTTCTTGTATTTCACTCTACTGCGTCTTTAAATTCTGCAGGACTAGTGACATAGCAGGTTTGTCACAGTAACAAGAATTCTATCCCTGGTTCTGAAGCAGTTATAACACATGAAATATTGCTGATCTTTGGGAAAATGTAAACATTGCTTCATGCACAAGGGCACATTGTCAGCAAAGAGCAGTTAAAAAAAAATGTAAAACAAATCCACCGTTCCCCAGCATATTTGTGGCAGCAAAAATAATAACATTTCTAATAACTGATTATTATGCAACTTCCTCTTCAGACCACTACTTAAATTCAAGTAAACCACCCAGGGTGATGCATTCTGACACTGCAGCTGCAATGAACTGCAACTCCCAGAAGGCTCAGCCATTTCCAGCCAGAACTTAATTCAATGTAACACACTTATATATTTGAGCAGTAATGAGTAATCTTGTCACCTGGGAAATGTAATATGTGGGGTACCAAGGACTCCCATCAGTGCATTAGCTATTCAATAAAATGCTTTATAATACTTTATAGATAGAAAGTAAATATTCTGCATTGTGATACTGTCTGGTGCTGCAGATCAAGGACCATGCAGCTTAATATCTCAAGGACACCTTGTGTGGAGATCATTAGCCTGCACTGCAATGAGGTGGGACATGTGTCCTGTCATTTACTAGGGTCACCTGTACAGACTGCATACTGTGGGTGCAATAAACCTAGCTTGGAGGCTAGTGATCATGAAGAATATATAGAATGAGCAATAAATGACATTTAGATGTACATGCTGCAATGTCACTTGGTGCAGGGACTGACCTGCCAGCCGTTTCTCTCGGATATTTTTCCAGAGCAGATCCCAGGCTTTGGTGGTGGAGTCCTTTAACTGCTCGCTCAGAGACCTCCTTAGGAGAAATTTGGCTGATCTCCTCATACTTGTCATTATTGTAAATCCCCCTGCATTATAAGAAATATTCCCTCCAAAATCCCGGAGCAGAGGCAGATCTGCAGAGACAGAGCCTCCCTGGGTGCAGAGAGCTGTTAAAACACCAGTGGGTCCTCAGTACTTCTCCAGAAATACATTGTAAAACTGAACAAGTCCACACTCCATCTCTCCTGCTGACACTTCCTCCCCCTGACTCTGGGTGCCCTTACTTTAACTGAATTCCCTTCACACAGACAGATGCACAAAAACATAATCCATATGTACAGTAATTTAGGTTTCCACCCTGATTCTGTTTCACATAGTGAATCTGTGCAGTCCTCTCTCTCTCCTTCATTTACCTTCCAAGAAATGCCATTTCCCTTATTGACTTACATTATCTCTCCAGACAGAAGAAGTGGAGGTCGTAAAGCTATTTTTAGCTGTAACCATTTCAGAACTGCAGAGGTGCAAATAAACCCATGCAGAAAAAAGTTGGGGTTTATTTACTAAACAGCAAAAAAAGAATATATGTAATAAAATAGATCATCTGTGACTACGCTAAAGGTAGAATTTTTATTTTTTAATTTCAGCTATTTTAGATTTAGGGTTGTCGTTTGGATTTATTTATTAAACTTTAGTGTTTAGCTAAAAACCCACTTTACTGCAAATTTGCATCTGAATTGTAGAATTCACGTGCAATAGCTGAATTAGAGGGAAAAGTAAAATGTGTATATTTTGTTGCGGCAGTTCACAGACAAATTATTGTTCTTGAATTTGCATGTTTAATTAGGTAACATTTATCCAAAAAGAAAAAAAACTGTGGTGAGAATGACCCCATTTTTAATATATTTAGCTTAAATACTAATAATATCACATCATGTAATCAATTAAGTACATTCAGTGTTCTTTGGTTTCTTGTATATGGCCTTTGAATTCATTAATTCAAGGACCGATTCAGAATTCCAGTTTGACACCTTTTTAGGAATCAAGCCGAATTCTTCTGAAGAGTCATAGGGTTTTCTCACTAAGCAGTGACTTGTTGTGAACTTGAAAATTGAAGGGCAAAATTTACGCCAAAATATCTAATGAAGTTTAATTAATAAACAATTAATTGTAGCAAACTAAATACCAACTAAAACAGCATACTGGAGAACTGCACAGTCTGACTATTTTAGACTCTGTTTTGGTATCTGACGTTTTATGCATTACAATTTGGAGTTTAGTGAATAACTCTGTGAGTTTGAATAAAATCCCAGCTCATTTACAGTCACATCTTTAGCTTGTATTGTGCGATCTGCTCTCAAGTTCGCCACAATCCACCAGAAATATCCACACAGGACTCCCCTAGATTTGTCCAACTCCTCGGGGGAGCTGGGTGTGAATTAAGACCATTACACCTTTCCTCTCCGTAAACCAAAAGTTTGTGCGTGGTCGAGAAAATATTACAGTGCAGGGGCCCCCAGACCTGATGAAAACATACCTGCCAACACTGGGAGCTAGATGGAGCATTGTTCGAACTGGTTTCTAGGATATTTAGAGACTCTGAGCACCAAAACCATTCTTAACTGAATGTTTTTGGTACATAGACCCTGCCCTTGCATTCTGAAAAGTATAAACATTGCCGTTTGTAAAAAATGGCAATGTTCACATTTATCTGTCAGAATGCCTCTAGTGGCGGTCTATCAGGCCACCACATGAGGATCTTTCTCATGAACTCCTGAATGCTGTGAATGCTTCTCACGCAGACACAATGGATAAAATGCTTCTTTATAAGAAGCATTCGATTGGCTGAGCGTGGCAACTGATGCATTGAATTGATGCATTTATTCCATGATAAGCACTGGATTAGGTCAGAGATCATCTAGATCAGGCGTCCCCAAACTCCGGCCCTCCAGATGTTGCTGAACTACAACTCCCATGATTTTATGAATGAACTAGATAAGCTGAGAACCATAGGAGTTGTAGTTTAGCAACATCTGGAAGGGCCGGAGTGTGGGGAAGCCTGATCTAGATGGATGATCGGAAGAGGTAAAGCAGCTGCCAATTCGAGACTGTTAGGCACTGGATAAAATGTGTTTAAACTGTATTGTTTCTTTTAGGTGGGGAAAAGGTGTTAGCCTTAGCCATAATCTAAACCTGAGGAACATGAACATTACAAATAATTATATTTATTATTT